AATCACACTCTGAGATACAAGGACTCTGGTAACACCCATTTTAAAGGAGAGGAAACCGAAGAGAATAGTTCCTGCCCACCAGAAACCTACTTTGTGTATAGGGGGAAACCATAAGAAATAGTAGTTCAGTGACAAGTGGCATGTAGACAGCTGTCATCAAGCAGGATGGCATGAGAGAGAGAGAGATGGCTTTGGGGAGGAAGGGATTCTCAAAGGTAGCATTTGAGACTTAAGGAAGCCAAGAGGCAGCCTGGGAGGGATTAGGGAAAAGTGTTCTTAGTAAAATGAGGACCAAAGCAAAGACCTGGAATATTGATGGCCTTGGAGTGCACTCTACAGTGAAGAAAGAGGCCAGCATGGTTGGAAGAGAATGAGCAAGGAAGGGTATTGGGAGCTCAGTCAGATCATAACCCTCGCGGGCCAGAGATTTATCATAGTTCCACATGCCAGGTAGTATGTTGTCTCTACTAGTGCACCACATACTCCCCACAACCCAACAGAGCAGGGGTTGGCAAAGTTATCATCACTCTTGCGCCAGTTCCGGCCCGCTGCCCATTTTTGTAAATAAAGTTTTATTGGAACACAGCCACGCTCATTTGTTTACATATTGTCTATGGCTGTTGTAGTGCTATAGTGGCAGAGTTGAGTAGAGAGCGTATACAAAGTCAAAAATATTTACTATCTGGTCCTTTATAGAAAAAGGTTGGCTGACCCCTGCTATAGAGACTATCTGATATTTATAGGTGGGGATACTGAGGCACAGAGAGGTTACTTGTTAAGTTCACACAGCTAGTAAGTGGCAGAGCTGGGATTCAAATGCAGGCAGCTTTAATTGAGGGTCCATTTAAGTGACTCCTACGCTGGTACTTTTACCCAGATCACATTAGGTGTGTGAGACCCTGCGAGAACTTGCACTCTGAGCGAGATAGCGGCCATGGCTGGGTTCTGAACAGAGAAGGGCCATGGTGCCCTAGGAGCTCAGAGGGTTCACCCTTTGGCAAATGGCTGAGAGTAGACAGACATGTCAGAGTGAAGGTGACTACAAGGCCACCAGTTATCCAGGCAAGAAGTGACAGTAGCCTGAGCCACAGTGGGTTTCCTTCCGCTGTCTTCATTTCTTCCCATCTGCTGTGGTCTTGCTTGTGAATTTTCTCCTTCTTCCTCTTGCTCCTGCCTGCCTGTTTCCCCTCTTCCAGGTTTCAGTTCCCCCTGCCTCTCTTTCCTGCCATTCTCAGGCCTGGGCCCCTTGATTTGCTCCCCCCGCCCAGGGATTGTCCTGGGAGGGAGGACCGTGTCCGAGCTGAGGTCCTTTGCCTGTGGGCATGAGAGCTGTTGGGGCACTGGGTCTGGGTGATCGGGTCTTGGACCCCTCGCAGCTTAGCCCAAGGGTAGAAATGTGGTGCCTCCCCTTGTCCCAGGTCTGGGAGAGTAAGGATGGGTGGGATGGGTGAGGAGCAGGACGAGTTCACTGGCTCCAACAGGCAGAGACACAAGCAAGGACACAGTGACATGGACATGTAATCGATGCAGCCCCATGAGGATGTGGCACTCGAACACGTGCACATACACACACACACACACTCATCCAGAGGTTGAAGTGTGGACAGTGTCCCACAACTACACAAACACATTCACCTCTCACACCCCCAGTGGACACACAGGGACTCCTGCAGGACCCATGACACATGGACTGTGTCATTTGGCAGGAGCCACAGCCCACATATACAGATACAAATAGAGAAATTGTCACCCCATCACATAAACACAGCCCATTCTTGGAACTTCACTGGGACATAACAGGAGCAGGGACTTCCACGGTGACACGTCAAAACACAGTCATACAAATGTATTCCATAGGGTCATGGTCACAGCCACCGCACACCAGACACTGATTCAGACAGTCGCTGTCACGCACAAACACACATCACAGCATCGGAACCCCATCAGGAAACAGAATCACCAGCAGTTACACAGATGTCCTCCATGGGGTCACGGTCACAAATAGACGGTGTGGGTGCACATGGACAGACCTGTCACAGTCCTGCCCACACACACAGGTTCCACACGTCACAGTCACACAGACTGCCAGGCGGTAACCACTCCGTTTGACATCTCAACCCCCCTCCCACACTCCAGCCTGGGGAGTCCCACAGGGCCCCACAAACTGCAGCGACCTCGTCACACCCAGACACACTGTCACACCCAGGGTCCCAGACGCAGCAGGCACACCCCCAGGGCGGCAGACGCGGCCCGCACACGCCAGGCCCCAGCTCGTGCCTCGCCCGGGCCTGAGGACAAGTAGCGGCCACACACTCGCGGTGCGGTCTGCCCGCGCCGCCACGCCCTCGTGACACACCCCGCCCACCTGCCGGGCTGCCCCGGAGCTGGCGCGGCCCCGAGGGCGGGGCGGGGAATCTGTGGGCTCAGCACCTTCCCGGGCCGCGTGCGCGCTGCCCCTGCCCTGCCACCCTGGCACCCCGGCCCGAGGGGCGGTTCGGCCCAGTCGGGACAAGTCCGCCCCCGCCCGCAGCCCACCCAGGGCCAGGGCAGGGGGTTGGGGCGCCCTGCCCCGCCCCCGCCTCTGCGGGCAGCCGGGCCTCGGCGGGAAGTCGTGGGGGGAGCCCGGGTTCCGGCTGGAGCCCCCGCTTCCTGTATGACCCCCCCAGGGCAGGAAGCGGGCTGGGGGAGGCCAGCTCAGGCCTTCCTGCCCCCTCCCCCAGATGGGGGGAGGGTGGTTACCATGGAAAAGGATGGAGGAGAGGGGAAGGGAGACAGAGAGGAGCGGAGAAAGCCCCTTCCCCCCTAAATCTCTGGGCCAAAGTGTTGTGTGTTTCCAACCTGAATTTATGTGTTCGGGACCTTTTCTTGTGCGTGTGAGTTTGCAAGCTTTGTGCTGCGAGTTCTGTCTAGCATGAGAGTTCCGGGGGCCTTGGAAGGGATGGTGGTGTCGACGTGTGCGCGCGTCCCCAGCACGTGCTCAAGTCCTCGTGTTTGTGGCTTGCTGCATTTCTGGGGTGTGCCTCTGCGTTTTGTATTTCTGCCGCCCAGGCTGGTGTATTTTCTGTGAGTTCTGTGTTCTGGCACTGTTTGACTCGGGAAGTCAGTGTTGTCTATGTGCGACATATTGTGTGTCTGAGTTTTTTTCTCAACATCTTCACAGTTTTTCTGGGTGTAAACTTTTGCATTCTCAACAACGTAAGCTTGACTTGAAATGTGGGGTTTATTGCCTATGCTTATGGATCTGGGAGAGCGATGTATTTTTCTAGGAGGGGGCTGTGTATGCGTTTCTTTCACGCAAGCTGGGTGAGTTTCTGGGTTGTATTTTGTGATCAGTGTGTGTGTCCCTCACAGATGGTGTGCGTCCACGTGGTGTGTCTTCAGCGTGCTTGCTGTGGTTCCCACGCTGTTTGTGTGTGTGAGAGGGCTGTACTTCTGCATGGTATGTCTGTGTGTTCTCAGCCCGTGTGGGTGTCTGAGCAGGTGGCATCCATCCGCATTTTTGTCCCCACATGTGGGCTGGAGACTTCAGTGTGCGAGCAGTTGCTCGGGTCTCCAGTCTGCATCACCCCGGAGGGCACTGAGTTCTCAGCAGGGTGGGGGTGCCTTCGGGAGCAGCTCTGAGTGCGGGTCTGCCTTGCATGATTGTTTTCAGGAGAGGGGGACAGCTGTGTCCTGTGAAACCGCTGGCATCCCGAGCAACCAGTGCCCACTGGCCTCCGTGCCGCGTGGGAGCTGTGTCTGCGGCGCGTCCCCTTGCCGGCTGGTGCCACGCTGGCTCGGGCTGGCTGCGGAGCGGGCAGCGGGCAGGGCTGGGCAGGGGCTGTGGTGGGCACTGGACTCGCGCCCGGCCTTGGTATAAATATCCCGGCGGCTGTTTGCTGTGTTTACTCGGCCTGGCCCGGGGGCGGCAGCAGCCCAGCAGGTCCTGGGGGCGGGGGTGACCAGGCCACAGCACAGACGTTTCCTTCAGGCCAGACAGGCCAGGCAGCCTCGCTGACCCCGCCAGCCCCCTTTCTAGATAGGGGCGAGGTGGAAACTCCTCATTCTCGGCCCCCTCCCGGGGGCCACCAGTAAGGCTCTGAGCTGGATGTCCCAGCTAGGCTTCCCAGGGTCTGGAGACAGAGGTGGGGACAGGGTCAGGGGAGTGGACCAAGAGACAGAGCAGGGAGAGGGACAGGAAAAATGAGAGCCAACACGGAGCAGGACAGGGCTCCAACAGCAAAAGGGACAGGGAAGCCGGGTTGCCGACAGTGACAGGAGCTCAGAGACGAGACAGAGAGGATAGTCCAGGACACCGAATGGATAAGGTGGGGGGAGAGAAAGTGAGACAGGAGGGGCACAGGAAAAGTGAGGGAGAAGTAGGGCTCAAAGGGAGGGAGGTACACAGTGGCAGGAGACAGAATGAGAAGACAGGCGCCAGAGAAAGGCCCAGAACGAACAAGGAAATGGGGAGGAGCAGGGGAGGACAGCAGGCAGACAGGGACAGAGAAGGGAGGTGGAGAAGCCTCTGGAGGAGAGGTGCAGGGAGGCAGCTTTAGCTTTGGCAGGAGGCGCAGAGGTGTCAGACGTGGGGGGGCGGGGTGGCGGCCAGCAGAGCAGGGCTGGGGCCAGGACAGACGGAGACACGGGGGTGGGGGTGGGGGCCGGATGCCCACAAAGGGGCTCTCCCGGCGGGGCCCTCCCTCCCTGACTCAGCCTCTCCGCCCACCCCAGCCCCAGAACGGGAACGGGGGAGAGGCGCCTGCCACGGAGGGCCGGCATCTGAGTCTCAGCGGCGACCAGGCACCAGAGGCAGCGACGGGGGTGTGTCTCGCCATCCCTGCAGATCCGTCTCCACCTCTCTTCCTGTCTCCCCTCTAATCCCAGGGCCTGGGACTGGCTCCACCTCTGTCTCAGCTGCAGACACTCCCGTCTTGACCATCTGACTAACCCTAACTCTGACTCAACGGTTGTGTTTCTCATCTTTTCAAAAATATATAACAAACTTATATATGGCAAAGTGTATTATAAACGAATTTAATGACCAAATGATAGACTGGTCTAAAATGTGCATCACTAAGGGCTGATACCTCTACCACGGAAGAGCTCAGGGCACCAACTTAAGTGCCTGAGAGACGAACATCTCTCATCTCTTGCTCTCGTCTTTCCAAATGGCATACCCGGACAGTCCCAGAATCCAGCTGGCTGGACTATCGTGGGCCTCGTTGCTGTGTCCCTGGGAGGTGGGACAGTCACACGGCAGTACCCACTGCACAGGACTGCTGTGCCGGTCGGTGATTCAAGTACCAATGTACACATTGAGATGATCCTGTCACTACTGTGTGTGGGGGGCAGTCCCCAAAGAGATGTCAGCCCCAACATCTAACTCTTCTGAAGTTTCCCCATCCGAGGAAGTCCTGTGTCCCTCCAGCTCTGCGTGGCCCGGTATCTAACAGGCTGGATGGCAGAGTGGTTTCTGGGACCTGGGTTCCCATCTCAGCTCTGCCTCTGATGGCCGAGTGGCCTTGCGTGAGCAACATCTCCTTTCTGGGCCTCTCTGACCCATCTGTGAAGCAGAGCTAAGGGACCCTAGTTCCCGGGGCAGTTTGGAGGATTCAGCTTGGTGTCAAGCACTTTGCTGGGGCCCGGCAGAGGACAGGACTGCTCAGCAGCCAGCACTTTCATTATTTAATAGCTGCTGCGTCTGAACATCCCTCTGCTCTGTCCGGCTCTCACTTTCATGTCTGGCTCCAATCCTGGCTGACCCGAGGGGAGAGCTGAGGCCGGAGGTCAGGAACCAGGGCCCCAGGAGGCAGTTTTGAGGCTCCCTCAGGCTCGGCCAGGGCAGGATGCCACCACTCCATCTCACCAGAGTGAGGGTTCCCCAGGCCCCACCTTGCTGGCTTCTGGCCTGTGCCCTGCCCCCAGTGGCCAGTCTGTGTGTGTCTCCTGCAGGAGCTGGGTGTGGGGGCATGGGAAGGCGGGACGCCTGGGTTCCCACAGGCCAGTGGCTGAGTCACCAGGCGGCCATCTGGCTCCCATTAGCCTAGGGCGGCAGGGGGCTCTGTGGGGCGGGCCCTGTGGCTGGCTGGGGGCAGGGACGCTGGGGCAGGCTGTGTATGTGTGTGTGTGATGACTCAGGACCCATGATAACAGACTGTGCGTATTTGGGGAGTGTAAACAGGAGAGGGAGAGGGAGGTGGAGGAAGTGAAGGAAGGGAAAATTGTGGCTGGGCAGAGGGGGGGTTGGGAGAGCTGGGAGGGGAGCTCCCCCCTTCCTGCACCCCCTCTCTCCATGCCCAGGTTGGCAGGCCCTGTGATCCCCAGTTCTGCTCCTGCTCACCCCAGCCTGGGTCGTGAGGTGGAGGTGGTCACCCCCGTCTCCTCTCTGCCCACGACGCTGCCTTACGCAGCAGTCAGGCTTGGGGGGAGGCGGAAGAAGGGGCCCAGGGTGTGGAGTGGGGCCGGGGTGGGGGGCCCAAAACCCAGGGAGATAAAGGCTGAGACACAGAGAGGGACGGTGACAGTACAGAGGCCGAGAGGGAAGCGGAAGTGTACAGGCAGGAAAACAGCAGGCCCAGAGTGAGGCCGACAGAGATGGGAACATACAGAGCAAGGAGGTCACGAGCAGGACAGCGGCCCAGACACAGAGGTGGAGAAAGACACAGAGCAACGGGCGAGAGGCAGCTGCACCTGGGGTCAGGTGTCGCTTGGCCTGGCCAGCTCTAGCCACAGGCACAAAGCCCAAAGCAGAGGGAGAAGGGCGCTGGGCAGTGAGATGTGGACAGAGAGACACAGAAGTAACCCAGAGAGACAGCAAGAGTGACAGGCAGGAGACAGTGGGGAAAGAGGGAGAAAGGTAGGGAACCCCAGAGACAGAAGTGAGGGGATTATGTGAGATGAGACTAGAGCCAGTGAGGCTGGTGTGGACAGGTGCTGCCCGGATGTCCCCCTAGAGAAAGAGTCACTGAGCCGGCCTGTAATCAGCTGCCTTGTTGGGACAAGGGACAGGGCAGGTGGCCGGCAAGAGGGTGGCGGCTGTCAGTCCCCATCCAGCTCTGGGCTGGGCGCATCCTCGGGCTCCTCCTCATCGAAGTACCTCTCCTCCTCATCCCGAGCCACAATGTCCAGGTTGTCGAAGTCGGGGTTGTCGTCCACGGCGCTGCAAGGGGAGAGGGCTGTCGGGTGAGTCTTTCTGGCACCCTGGGAGGCCGAGGTCAAGGGCCTGAGCCCTGGCTGGGTGCAGTGGGTCACACCTGTAATCCCAGCACTCTGGGAGGCTGAGGCGGGTGGATTGCTCAAGGTCAGGAGTAACAGACCAGCCTGAGCAAGAGCGAGACCTGTCTCTACTAAAAATAGAAATTAATTGGCCAACTAAAAATCTATATAGAAAAAATCAGCCGGGCATGGTGGCACATGCCTGTAGTCCCAGCTACTGGGGAGGCTGACGCAGGAGGATTGCTTGAGCCCAGGAGTTTGAGGTTGCTGTGAGCTAGGATGACACCACGGCACTGTAGCCCGGGCAACAGAGTGAGACTCTGTCTCAAAAAAAAAAAGGGGACCTGAGCCCCTGAGGTCAAAGGCCATGTGCTGGCTGCTGTGGTCAGCTGACCCTCAGAGGGGGATAACTGGCCCCTCAGGGCTTAAAACAAAAGGCAACATTTTCCAAGGCAGAGATTTTACATATAAACTCTGGTTTCCGTTAAAGAGCTGGAAAATGTGGCGACACACGGACTCACATTCCTGAGGCAGGCAGCGGTTCTTAAGTGGGTGATTTTGCCCCCCAAGGCGTTTTGACATTCTGATTGTCACAGCTGGAGGCCTGCTACCTGGATCTAGTGGGCAGAGGCCGGGGTGCTGCTAAGGGCCCTCCCACACAGGACGGCGCCCACGACAAAGAACCACCTGGCCCAAAAAGTCAACAGTAGGGTCACCAGTTCCAGGCCGAAGACTCACCCTGCTTGGAGGCAGTAAGTCATCCTCACTGCACTCACTTGGTCACCAAGCCCTGCTTGACCTGACTGCTCCCGCCATCCCGGTCACCTTGCTGTTGCTCACTGCCACCTCAGGGTTCGCACACCTCCTGCCGCCCCAGCCGGAAGGCTCTTCCCTCCACTTCCTGCGGGTCTTTTCTCACGTCACCTTCTCAGAGAGGACTTCACTGGCTACCCTGTCACCCCTCTCCCTTTACTCTTTCTTTTTCTTCATGTCCCCCCCAACAAGATAGCCAAAAACTCCTTACGTCCTCACTAGTGTGGGCCCCTGTCCTTGGTTCTGTTTCCTGCCTCATTCCCCAGAGCCAGGAAGCAGCAGACACTCAGCATGTGCTGACTGAATGCACTGGTGAGGGACACACTTGGGCCACTGCTGCCCAACAGCTACCCTCCTGAGGGGACAGGCTTTGGTCCCCACCACCCCAGACTTCCCCCTGGGCCCCTGGGTTAGCAGTGGCAGTGGTGCCCACTCACCACGGGCTCCCCACGGCCCAGGCACTCGTCTCACCAGCGTGCGTGGGGACTGAGGCTCGGAGTGGCCTGTCCTGGCTGGATGCAAATCATCCAGATTTGGTGCAAGAGCCAGGGGATGCCAGAATGGGCCACACTGCTCCAGTCACTAGGTGCTGACTGGAGGCTTAGCCCTGTGGCAGTGCCACCATAATCCCCATGTTACTGATAACCCAGCAAGGGGCCACCTATTTGTGGTCACAGAGTTCCACGTGTTATCAGGGCTGGATCTAAAACAAAGGAGGGTCCCTCTGCTACCAGCCAAGGTGTTTGGGACCACAAGGGAAGACTGCCTCAGATGACAAAACTATTTATCTTTCACTCTGATATGTTACTCTTCTGGGTCCTTCTCCCTGATGGTCAAATCCCTTTCCAAAGCCAGGTGGTCTACACGTCTCACCCCTTAGGTTATACCGGAGACATGAACAACTGGCACCACGGGGTACCCACCACACACCCCCCATGCCAGGCATTGACCCTGCCGGGGGTTACTTCCTGCAGCATGAAGAGATTGGCTTCCTGGGGACGCCTGGGGTTGTGGCAGCCGACCAGGCCTCTGCCACCTGCCAGAACGTAATGTTTCAGTGTTTCATCAGCATTGAGCTACATGTCATCCCCGCTCACTCCCCTCCTTACGGATGAGGTGACTGAGGCTCTGAGACAGACAAGGCTGGTCCAAGGTCACTCAGCCCCTTCGTTTAGCTGTCTGACCCAGGGCCCATGACCTGGAGCTGTTCCAGGGCCTTCTAGCACCACAGAGGGAGGCCCCCCTGGATGCGCATGGGATCTGGCATGTGGCTGTGGGGTGCTGGGCTCAGGCATGGGGAGGTGGGGCACAGGAGCACCTGTAGTCGAAGTCCCCGTCCTTGCCGTCCAGGAAGCGCTGGTGCATCCGGCTGGTGAACTCCTCCCGCAGGATGAGCCTCTCCTCCGAGTCGGGGACCCAGGCCTCTGAATCTTTGCCTGACCTCTGGTCTGTAGCGACATACCATGGGGATGTGAATGAGGGTACACTTGGCAGGCACGGAACATACAGTGTACAGCGAGCTGCTGCCTCTGTGCCTGGCCCTGTCTGGGTGGCACTGGGAACACAGCAAAGGCCTGGACAGCCCTAGTCCCTGCCCTCTGAGGGCACACATCAAACACATATGACAGTACAGTGCTCTGGAGACCGTATACCAGGGCCAGGACGTGAGACCTGAAGGGTGGGAAGCAAGGCATTCCTGGCAAAGGTCTGGAGGTGAGAAATCACCTGGCGTCTTTAAGGAGTGGGGACAGGAATGCTGGAGAGATTGGAAGGGACTGCAGGGGGGAGGGTAGGCCAGGCAGGAGAGGATGGGACGTTTGCTTTTGCAGGTTGGGGGCTCTGCCTGGTGCCATGAGAGACAGACAGGCCTGGGGCTGGGGTGTCTGGACAGTGGGGTCTCCCTCTTACTGGCCCTCACCTTCCTCATCACTGTCTTCCTCTTCTTCCTCCTCCTCCAAGCAGGCCTCCTCCTCCTCCTGCTGCTGGAGCAGCCGCTGCTGCAGCTCTCTCTCCTGGTAGGACTGCAGCAGCAGGTCAGAGAGCGGGCAGGCGGGTGTGCCGGGGCAGCCGGGCTTGGGGGGCTGCTGGGGTGGGTCCCTGGCACTGAGCTCCTCCTGGGTTAGGTACTGCCCAATGTACTGCTCGTACAGCAGCGGGGCCCGGAACCGCATCTGCTCGTCACTGAAGTACTCGCCCCCTGTGCAGAGGAGAGGCAGGGTGGGCATGGGGTGACCATGTCTGAACAGATGTGTGTCCATGTGTATGTGTGCACACATTCAAATACGCAGGAAAATATGCACAGATGCCTGAGGTGTGTGCCTGAATATTCACGCATGTGACTGAGTGTGTGCGAATGACCAGACCTGTATCTACGCATGTATTCACGTGTCCAAACATGTGTGCAAGGCAGGCCCAGGTACATCAGCCTCTGAGGCACTGGTGGTCTGGAACCTACGCACCACTGCGTCTGGGCAGGGTTCACAAGGCCCTGCCCTTGGTATGTGCAGTCACAGGTACACACACATCTCCCCACAAGTGTCAGCACACTGTCCACAGGTACCCACGTGTCTGGAGTCAGCACGCAGGACAACACAGGCAGGCTGTGTCGTCCGCAGGCTGTGTGTACCTGTTTGCTGGTCTGGCTGGCAGTGGAAACGGCTGGGCACGCCTGCACCATTGGCTGTGTTTGTGCACACGTCCATGTGGGTCTGGTGTGTGTGCATGGGGTCCAGGTCAGGCAGAGCATGTGCCCACACTGGTGTCCCTGGTGAGAGCCGGGTCCTCCCAGGTCTGATCTCTCCCCAGAGTGGTCCTCTCTGCAGCCACCCCACCCCCATGGGCCTGGCTTTCCCTCCGCCCTGAAACCTAGGTTCTTCACATTGACCTTGGCTGCCTGTTCCTTGGCTCTATCCCTCAGGTAACAGTCAGACCTGCCTTGGCCCCTCCCCTCCACTGGCCCCAGCCCTGCCTTCAGAGCCCAGAGCCAAGCAGCCACTCAGATTCCTGGCCTCTGTAGTCCCTGTCCTGCTCACCCATCCTGCTAGCTTTCTTACGCCCAGCCGTTTATGGGTTCCTCTACCAGATTCCATTTCTATCCCTCCTTCTCCCTAGCTCAGACTGTCACCTTCTCTCTCTCTGGGACTCTGTTCTCTTCCTTTCTTTTTTTTTTTTTTTTTTTTTTTTTAATTGAGACAGAGTCTCGCTTTGTTGGCCAGGCTAGAGTGAGTGCCATGGCATCAGCCTAGCTCACAGCAACCTCAAACTCCTGGGCTCAAGCAATCCTGCTGCCTCAGCCTCCCGAGTAGCTGGGACGACAGGCATGTGCCACTATGCCCGGCTAATTTTTTTTTTCTATATATATTAGTTGGCCAATTACTTTCTTTCTATTTAGAGTAGAAACGGGGTCTCGCTCTTACTCAGGCTGGTTTCGAACTCCTGACCTCGAGCAATCCGCCTGCCTCGGCCTCCCAGAGTGCTAGGATTACAGGTGTGAGCCACCATGCCCGGCCTTCTCTTCCTTTCTTGCTCTGTCCCCATCTCCCTATCTTTCCTGCCTTCTCAGTTTCTGTCACCTAACCACACCTCATTCATTCATTCCTTCTTCCCCTTCCTTTCTTCCTTTCTTCATCCTCATCCCCCATCTGTACCCATATCTCACTCTTTCTATTATCAGCCTCTCTATAGCTTGTGCCTTTTCTCTAATTAGACCTCAACTTACTCCGTTTCATTTGTTGTCATTTTTTAACTTTGGTTCTGTTACCTTTGGTCACAAAGATGTTTTTAATTATGTTGTGGTCAAAAAGGTATCAATGTTTTCCTTCATGGTTTTCACGTGTGTTTTGTTCAAGGCTCCTGGGTCCCCAAGGTCATAAACTTACTTCCCTTGGTTTCCTCTGATGCCTTTGCATATGGTGTGAGGTAGGGATCTCACAGTCCTTAGGGAAAACCTAGAACATAGAGCTGCGTTCTATGTTCTAGCCCCACTGATCTGCAAGGCCACTTCTTCTGTCATCTACTGAATTCTGATCCCTTCTCACTGTCAGTCCCGTTCTCTTCCCCTGAGCCCTTGTCTGTCTCTATCCATCTCTCTTACTTCACGTTTCTGTCTCAGTCACTCTCTGTGCCCCTGGCTTCTTGTCTCAAAACGCATCTCCCAGGAGCTGTGTCTCTGTTCTCGCATCCTTGTTTCTCACTCCCTCTGCTTCAGTCTCCCCTCGTCCCCATCTGTGCCTGCCCTCGCCCATCTGCCCCCCACACCTTGGATCAGCTCTCGCAGGGCAGCGTAGCGCCGGTTACGCAGGCGGGTGCGCAGGGTTCGGGGCCGGGCAGTGTTCTGCCGGGCCACCTCAGCACAGTAGAAGTCTGCACGGTGGTCACCTCGCAGATGGCCGAAGCAGGCCAGGTGCTCCTCTCGGAGGCCTGTGCGGAAGCGCTCCAGGAATACCAGTGGCTTCTCGTGGTACAGCTGGCCCAGGATGGCCACCTTCTCCCGCTCTGTCAGATCAGGCTCTCCCTGCTGCTGGCTGCACACAGGTAGGCGGCTGGCAGCCACAGCATGCAGCATGGCGCTCACCGCTGCGTTTTCAGCCCTGGGGGCACTGTTGTCCAGGGCCTCTGGCACCACCTTAGCTGCTTCCACCTTGTCCTGGGGTCGGGATGGGACTGGTGTCCAGCTCAGCTCCCCCCAGTGCCCAGGTCTGGGCTCTGTGTAGCCTGTAAGGGGTGGGGGCTTTATTAGTTCAGGGATGGGAGGGAGGGAGGGGGAAGGGATTGGGTAGAAAGGGACTGGGTGCTCAATCACCCAGTCAATTCACATTTACTGAGCAGCTATACATTGTGGGCACTGTTACTAGGCCCTAGAGATACCACAGTAGGCAAAAAGTTGACATTTCTGGCCAGGCATGGTGGCTCACACCTGTAATCCTAGCACTCTGGGAGACCGAGGCGGGAGGATTGCTCGAGGTCAGGAGTTCGAAACGAGCCTGAGCAAGAGCGAGACCCCGTCTCTACTATAAATAGAAAGAAACTAATTGGCCAACTAATATATATAGAAAAAATTAGTTGGGCATGGTGGCGCATGCCTGTAGTCCCAGCTACTCGGGAGGCTGAAGCAGAAGGATCATTGAGCCCAGGAGTTTGAGGTTGCTGTGAGCTAGGCTGACGCCACGGCACTCACTCTAGCCTGAGCAACAAAGTGAGACTCTGTCTCAAAAAAAAAAAAAAAAAGTTGACATTTTAGTGGAGGACACAGATGATTATCCACCTAATTACTGAAAATTTATACTGTGTTAGGTATTTCCTAGAGCTATGAAGAAAAATAAAGAGGAAACAACTAATGCAAAGGCCGTGAGGCCTGATTGTTTTTTTTTTTTTGAGACAGAGTTCTGCTTTGTTGCCCAGGCTAGAGTGAGTGCCGTGGCGTCGGCCTAGCTCACAGCAACCTCAAACTCCTGGGCTCAAGCGATCCTCCTGCCTCAGCCTCCCGAGTAGCTGGGACTATAGGCATATGCCACCATGCTCGGCTAATTTTTTTCTCTCTATATATATTAGTTAGACAATTAATTTCTTTCTATTTTTATAGTAGAGACAGGGTCTCGCTCTTGCTCAGGCTGGTTTTGAACTCCTTACCTAGAGCAATCAGCTCGCCTTGGCCTCCCAGAGTGCTAGGATTACAGGTGTGAGCCACCACACCTGACCAGGCCTAACTTTTTGATGCACTTAATTCTTTGACTTTTCACTTGTTCACAAAATCATGAATACATTCACTAACTTGTTCACTCATTCAGTCCCTCTCTCTTAAGCATTCACATATTCAGCCAACTACTCTTCAGCAACTCTAAGCCAGGCAATGCTGAGGATCCACAGACGAAATCCAGTCTAGCTCCTGCCCTCAGGGAGTGCACAGGTAGATGTGGGACAAAGATAATATGGGAAAAGATAACAGGAAAGCTGAGTGCCCGGCAAACCTTGGTAAGAGCTGTTTCCCAAGAGTGGTGGGAACTGGAGCAAGCAGAACATAAGTGAAGACAGAAAGTAGAGACAACTCTTTTAGGTAGCTTAGCTGGGATGGGGAGGAGTTACAGTGACAGTTACAAGTTTAGTGGGTTTCTGAGAGGATTTCCATCATTGAGCTAGGAGAAGACTGATCTGGACAAGGGCAGGGGAAGAGGGGATGGAAGAGTGGGCAGGGGGGTGATCAGAAAGATGCTCAGGAGGCCAAGTGGACAAGCCATGGGGCTGAAGGCTGGGAGGAGAGAGAAGCACTCAGGATGAGGTTCCACTGCCGACACATGGGCCTTTGGACTTCTCAGGAGAGAAGTCCTGGGCTGGAGACAGAGTTGTGGGTGTTACCAGAGTCAAGACAAGAACTAAAGCTATGGGAAATGAGGGGTGGGGAAGGGATCAGAAGAGAAGAGGAGACAAGAAGAAGCACTGAATAGATGGGGAGAGGACATGCCTGTGAAGCTAAAGACTGGCCACCAAAAGAATAGCCACGTCTTAAAAGATAGCCCGGAATCTGTGAATCCTGCCTTAGATGGGGTGGGGGGGGCCAGGGACAGGATTTTCACAGGTATGATTAAATCAAGGATCTCACCTTGGAGAGTTTCCTGGATTATCCAGGTGGGCCCTAAATGCAATCACAAGTGTTCTATAGGATATACACACAGAAAGCAAGAGATTGGAAGCAGAGATTGGATGATGTGGCCACAAACCAAGGAATTCCAGAAGCCACTGCTGGCTAGAAGAGGCAAGGAACAGGTTCTCCCCTAGAGTCTGTGGGGGAGCATGACCCTGCTGACACCTGGATTTCACCCCAGTCATACTGATTTCAGGCTTCTGGCCTCGAGAACAGTGAGAAAATAAATTTTTGTTGTTTTAAGCCACCCAGTTTGTGGTACTTTGTTAGAGTTGCTCGGAAATGAATCTGGAGGCTGAGAAGGAACACACTGAGAGATAAGAAGGAAATCAGGAAGCATGGCATTACAGAAACCAAGGGAAAACTTATAAGAAGAATGAAGGAGTCAATGGCTAGAACTGAATTCCAGTCAAGGCTAGTAAGAAGAAACCCAAATGGGTGTTCTTTTTCTGCATGGGTAGGAAGTTATTGGGGATCCTAATCAGAGCAGTTTCTGAGGGCAAAAGTCAGACTTCAGTGGATGGGAGGTGAGAAAATAGAGACATGTATACAAGAATCTCTGGAGAACACTCTGGGAGGCTGAGGCGGGTGGATTGCTCAAGGTCAGGAGTTCGAAACCAGCCTGAGCAAGAGCGAGACCCTGTCTCTACTATAAATGGAAAGAAATTAATTGGCCAACTAATATATATAAAGAAAAAATTAGCCAGGCATGGTGGCGCATGCCTGTAGTCCCAGTTACTTGGGAGGCTGAGGCAGCAGGATCACTTGAGCCCAGGAGTTTGAGGTTGCTGTGAGCTAGGCTGGCGCCATGGCACTCACTCTAGCCTGGGAGACAAAGTGAGACTCTGTCTCAAAAAACAAAACAAAACAAAAAAAGAATCTCTGGAGAAAACAGATGGTGACTGGAAGGCAGCATGGGGACAAGGGAAAGATTTTCTTTTTAGGTTAAAAAAATTTTTTTTCTTAGGTAAAATGTCAAACATACACAAAAGTAGAAAGTATGACACCCTTCCCCCTACCTACATATACCCATCATCTGGCTTCAACAAAGATCAACTCTTGGCCAGTAGTGTTTCAGCGAACTTCAACCACATCATTTGAAGCAGTGGGATGGAATTTTAAAATGAGGAAAACAAAAGAATTTTAGATACTGACGGGAAGGCATCAGGAGAAATAAGAGATTGAAAATGCAACGGAGAAAGATGGGGGAGCACATAAGTGGAGTGAAGACTGAAAAGGCAGACTAGATTGCAAACTCTGGAGGAAGGGAAGTTACAATGAAATGGGGGAACCGTCAGTCTTGGTTTGCAGGGGACAGGTTAGCTAGGGGCACGAGAAGGCTCAGGCACAAAGGAGGAAACTTGAGAAGGGCTGGTCAGAGACAGTGGGAGAATTAGCCCCGTGAAGGGGCGAGGTTTTCGTTAACCTGAGGGCTTGATAAGGAAATAGTGGGCCACGAACTAGGAAGAGGTTAATTTCGGAGGAGGGAATGGAGGGAAAAGAGGTCAGCCTGAGACAAGAAATGAGACAATCTACACAAAGTGGTAGAGGGAACAGGTAAGGCTGACCTCAGGTGTCCCCCTATAAAGAGTCCTCCTTCGCGTTCCCGGGGAATCATTTCCTAGTGGCACCGCAGCTGCACCCTCCCGCCGCCTCCGCGTGGCCAGGACCTCACCCTCCTCGGGTTCTTTCGTTGCCGCTGCGGTCGCTACGGCGTCCATCCTGATTTTCTCCGACTTGTCAACCGCCGTGGAGGAATCCGCACGCCAACCTCCGCCCCACAAACTGAGGAACCACTTCCGGCCGAGAAGGTTCACGGAGCCGGGTGCTCCTCTATGCCCAAGCACCAAAGTTCCGGTCCGAATGCCGACCTTCCTATGCGCATGCGTGCCTCCCTCGGGTCCCGCCCCCAGCAGCCAGGAAGGAAAAGGGCGCCCGGGTGAGACAGAGCCCGTTCAGCCTCTCCTGTCTGAAGTTGGACAATCAGAAGGGACTCGAACCACAGTTGTGACTCCAGCTCCCGGCGTGCTTAATTTTGGGATGGTTGAACGACCGCCCTTCCAGGGCCTGGCCCTGTCACACTCGTAGGGTTTGTGCTCTGGTTTAGACCCCAGCCTACCCCTTTCATTTCACTACCTCAGGGATATTTACTAAGCCTTGTCATCATACTCAGTTTCTGGCTGGTGAAACTAGAGATAAAACTTCCCATTTTGTGTCGTCAGGACGTGGAGGAAATCTGCAGATAAGAAGGGAGACAGCCGTGGTTTTGACTTGCCATATGAGTTGGGTAGGGACTCACATTTAGTTGTCTGTTACCGAGAGTGGACAGGCATATCACCAATGACCACCCTGAGTGGCCAGGGCTCTGATGGACCCAGTGGGCTGAGCGAGCCGCCCACCCCAGCCAGAAAGGTCAGGAAAGGCTTCTTTCTGGGAGGAGGGGACCCGCCAAGCTGAGACCTGAAGGATTAGCAGGAACTAGGGTAAAAGGAAGGTAGGGAAGGGTCTCAGGCAGGAGGCTGGCAGGCATGGATAGTTCCAGTTGCTGCAAGCACTTCCATACAGTCAGGGATTAAGAAAGGAGTTCCAGGCCGGGCGCGGTGGCTCACGCCTGTAATCCTAGCTCTCTGGGAGGCCGAGGCGGGTGGATTGCTCGAGGTCAGGAGTTCAAAACCAGCCTGAGCAAGAGCGAGACCCCGTCTCCCTGAGCAAGAGCGAGACCCCGTCTCTACTATAAATAGAAAGAAACTAATTGGCCAACTAATATATATAGAAAACATTAGCCGGGCATGGTGGCTCATGCCTGTAGTCCCAGCTACTTGGGAGGCTGAGACAGAAGGATCCCTTGAGCCCAGGAGTTTGAGGTTGCTGTGAGCTAGGCTGACGCCATGGCACTCACTCTAGCCTAGGCAACAAAGCGAAACTCTGTCTCAAAAAAAAAAAAAAAAAAAAAAAAGAAAGAAAAGAAAGGAGTTCTGACTTGAAGGCCATGATTGGGTTGTGGAAGATTTCATTTATTTTTGAGACAGAGTCTCACTCTGTTGCCCCGGCTAGAGTGCCGTCAGCCTAGCTCACAGAACCTCAAACTCCTGGGCTCAAGCCATCCTTCTGCCTCAGCCTCCCAAGTAGCTGGGACTACAGGCATGCGTCACCATGCCTGGCTAACTTTTTCTATTTTTTGTAGAGACAGGGTCTCGCTCTTGCTCAGGCTGGTCTCAAACTGAGCTCAATCTGTCCCTCTTGGCCTCCCAGAGTGCTAGGATTACAGGCGTGAGCCACCGTGCCAGGTTGTGGAAGATTTAATATCATTAATCTTTACACAAAATTCCACGTACACCTGTGTTCTCCAAGGCAGAGGTTCATGGTGTTTGCAGGTTAGAAAAAGGATTTGTGACCTCACTCACCTCCAGAACAAAAGAACATTCATCTTATGTTCAAAAGGGGAGCAGAAAGAGACGGAGCCAGTGAGGTTACCAGGTGCTAGGCTAGGCCATGAAGGGCCTGGTAAGCCACCTTAAGGAGCTTAACTCCCTTACCATACAAGGAGAGTGCAAGGGGATCAAGGTAAGGGAATGGAGATATGACATCTATGAGGAAGCTAGTGTAATAATCCAGACTGTGGCTGAGAGCGGAGGAAGAACTTAACTTGCTTTCTGGAGTTGTGGAAGAAAGCCAATGAGGTTCCTATTTCCCACACCAGATGAACGGGGATGGGCTATCCCTAGACGTTATTACCCTGAGACGCCAGCAGAGGGTGCTGCTGCCCAGCACATAGACCTGCAGGGCATGGGACTTCCAGAGCTACCCTCCCTGCCCCTCTGGGAACAGGGAGGGTAGCACTCTAGGGTCCTTTAGTGCTACCGACTTTGGCCTCTTGTGAGGGATGCCCCAGCCCATACCTTGAGACTAACTGGCTGCTTTTGAGTTCCCATAAGGGAAGGGATTGGGCTGCACTGGCCTCTCCTGTGGCCCAGCACTGTCCCTGACAAGGTGCCAGGAACACAGCATGTACAGAGGGAATGAAGAAATTAATGAAGTTGCAAGGGAGGACGACAGTGGGAGGTGGGGGTGCAAGCTGAAACTCAAGTCCTTTATCCTGTTGTTTAGTTTCTCCCTTGTCTAGGAAGCCCTGCCCTCACCCTACCCCAGGCTCTCACAGTTGACCACCTGGGGCTGACACTATTTGAGGGCAGGTTTCAGTTATCCCTGCAGTGGGAGCTGTGTGAACAGGCTCTAGGACTGCCTTGGCCATGCAGTGTCCCCAGCACTGTCGAGAACAGTTGAGGAACATAGCAGGTCCCCAATACATACTGGCTAAAACACAAAGCTCCTGGTGCTGGGAACAGAGGACAGACAGGACTGTCCTGAGTACAGCACCTGAGGGGTCAGTCAATACCCAGCAATGATTCCCAACAAACCAGCCTGGTCTCCACCCCATCATTCCCACCTGTCCCTCTGCCTAGGGACCTGCTCCATGTGTTCTACTAAAAAATTCCAGGAGGGATCTTGTACTGTGAGAGAACCAGAGAACTACCTTAAAAATGAAATAGTGGACTTAAAACCAAGGGCCTTGGTTCAAGGGTGCATTTTTAGCACCTAAACTGGGGCTAGGCACACAAATCCCTCAGTGTTTGTTTAATGAATGAGTAAATAACTTCCCCTTGAAAAGACCCCCCACCTCAATTAAAGGCCAACTGCAGTAACACTTTAGGGTTTTGACCCTGCTTCCTTCCTGCTAGGAGGTGCCATATCATTTATTGAAAGAAAAGAAAACAAAACAAAACAGGGCAAACACATTTCTTAATAAGTGCAGTTTGTTAAAATCCTGTTAAAACATATGGGTCAAGGGGAAGTAAAAATAATCAGAGGATCGCTGTGGAAAAACTTTTAGGCCTGGCACCTGGGAGACCACTGAAGAGGTGGCAGCGGAAGCAACTTCATGTTCTGAAGGGAAGAAGCACCGCCCCCCTCCCCTTCTTCCCTCTCTCCCATTTAATCCCACCAGAAACTACCAAGACGCCCAGAATAAAAGGTTTCAAGTTCAATAGTCACACTCTCTCCAAATACAAAAAGCAGTTACAATTCAACTGAACACAGAAGCTTGTGTGCAAAGTTACGGGGAACTGAGACATCGTATAAAAAGTTAGGTTAAAGATGATTTTGTGGTTTTGTTTTGTGTGTGTTTTGTTTTGTTTCGAGGGTGTGGCTCTTCCTCGGTCACCTGAACTCAGCAAAGAAATGGTTATCTTGATGAAATATCAACAGCTGACCCACAGTAAAAACAGACAAATTCTAAAAATTAAAAAAAAAGCATAATTACCAAAAAAATATGTCACTGCTTCCTCCCTCCGCATTTTGCTTTTTAAACTTTTTTTTTTTTAAGTTTTTGATTTTTTTTTAATCCTGAAAAGTAGACAGTAAAACAGCTCCTGGAAGAATTTACAACCAACTGCATGAGGGAAGCTGAGGGGCTGGAGCAAGGTTGGGGTAAGTGAATAAGAACAGGGTCTCCCCTCAGTCACTGCAGCCTGACTGTATGGCCAAGGGAAGAGAGGATTTAGTCAAAAAGGAAGAAGGTAGGAAGAACAGGAGGTGGGAGGTTGGGGGAGGGACAAACAGAAAATAAAAGGTCATTGTTGCCTGTTTGAATCCAGAGAAAAATGCCTGGCCCTGTGGTGGGGTCGGGGGAAGAAGCCCCTCGGAGGGGAGGCAGTGGGCTGGAGGGAGACAGCCCTGGGATGACCCCATCCCCAGCACCGCAGGACCTGGTGGGAGTCAAGGAGGGGGCCGAGGCAGGCGCTGGTGGAGGAAGCCGGCAGGGGCCTCCGGAAGCCTCTGGGACACACTGGCTACTGTGTGCTTGTGCCACCCTGTGTGTTCCCGGAGTAGCTCCCGTAGTCGTAGTTCCCGTAGTATGGTGGCCACTGGCTCTGGTTCTGATAGTACTGGTTCCACTGCTGGGCATACTGGGGAGAGAGAAACCAAGAGCACCAAGTTGTCCTCCATCCACCCCACAGTTGGCTCCTTCCCTGGCTGCAGCCTCACCTAGGGCAGAGACGGGTCCTTAGGAGGACAAGTGACTGACCTTATGCCACAAAGGCAGGCAGTTAGGAAGCCAGGTCTCCTGGCTTGTCAATTTAGTGCCCTTCCAGGTATAGCTAGATAATTACACTCAAAATATTTCATAACAGTTATGACAGCCCGAGCACCAACCTGAAGCAGGATATGGAGGCCCCTGCCACGCCACCCCTTCCCCTTTGCTTGCTGCATTGTGGAAAGGAGCTAGGATACCAGTTACTCAGCAACCAGTACAGAAGCATTTACCAAATAAAATGGCTGATGGCAAAATGAATGCCAGCCTGGGGCCAGCAGGCTGCTCATCTTTTTAGGGATAAGCAGGGACTCCAGTCTGGGAATACACACCTAAGAGGGGCCCCTAGAAGTCCCTCCACCCCACTGGCCCCCAGTCTGGCACCTACCTGCTGATACTGGTTATAGGTGGGCTGAGGGTAGGTCTGCGCGGTAGGAGGCGGTGGTGGGGTGTATGGGGCTGGGTTGTAGCCGCCGTAGCTCCCATAGTTGTAGGCAGGTGGTGGTGGAGGTGGAGGTGGTGGAGCTGTGTAGCCCTGGGTGTAACCTCCCTGGTTGTAGGGTGGCTGGCTGTAACTCGGCTGGAAAGTGAAGGAAAAAAACGCAAAGCTCTGTGAAATAGCCAGCTCAGGGTTGGGATAGCGGAAGGGCCTTTCCAGGCAGCTGGCCCCCAGAGGCACTTCCCTGGTGGGTATTGTTTGAGGGTGAAGGAGGTGGGCCAGACCAGAGACAGGGCAGAACAGCAAGGATGAAGCGCAAATGCTAGGGTTGTGTTCTGGACTCTAATCCCAGCCCCGAGACCTGGGAAAGCAGGATACATGGCATCTCTTGAAACACAGGTTATCTTTTCTGTAAAACGAGAATCATAACAGAACCATCCCTACAGACTTCCTTGTACTTTCAATAAGCTTGTGTGTACAAACCACGGGGCACTCAGTAGATGCTGGTAGTTGCTACTGGAAGATCTCTGAGGATACCAGTGGCAATTTACTTTGTGCTCCCTATGTAGAGGCTGTTTCATTAATTCATTCACATATCAACTCTGGGGGTAGGTTCCTAATTAGCCCCATTTTACAGAGAAGGAAGCTGAGGTTCAAGAAGGTGAAATCAGTGCACCAAGGTCACACAGCTAAAAAGGACTTGACCTAAGGTCTGTCTAGTCCCAGAATCTTAATCACAAAGCTACAGTGCCAGCCATCCCTTATGATAAGAAAAACCTTGGAAGTGAGTTCTACTAATAGGTCTAGTCCTTTATGGGGACAATGAGGCCAAGAGAGCTAAGTGGTTTGTCCAAGGTCACAAAATCAGGATGTTCTGGGGGTGGGGGTTTGAATCTGTGCCTGCCCAACTCCTGTTCTAGGAACTGGAACTATTCATCTATCTCCTGGCAGCTGCTTCCAAGTTTGGCAGGAGGAAGGTGCTGAGGAAATGGCTGTGAGGTAAGT